CACGGGAAGTACTCTGAGGAATTGTTCGGATTAATCAAAGCCGCCAAATTTACCATCTGGATGCTTGGCGGTCCATCACTGTACGTTACACTAGGATTTTTCTTCCGCATACGTCCTCTTTGCAAAATAATTTACCACCGGCGAGTTTTCCGGACCGATACGACCTGGGGACCTTCAAGAAAGGAGCTTACTCTTTTCTAAAGGGCCGACAACGCACCTGCAATTCACTTAACATCAGGTGAACCCCATGCTCGTTTCCCCACTCTTTTATAAGACAAAAAAAAACTATAAATGCACGGCGAGTATAATTCATCATTATCATCATCATTACAGCCTTTCACAAGTCCACTGCTGAACATGGGCCTCCCCCAAGTAATGCCACAAAGGTCCTGAGCCACCTGCATCCATCGACTTCCTGCATATCTTACCAGGTCGTCACGCCATCTAGTGGGGGTCGCCTTACACTACGCCTACCGGTACGAGGCTGCCACTCGAGGACCTTTCTTCCCCATCGGTTATCGGTTCTTCGAGCTATATAGCCGGCCCAATGCCACTTCAGTTTACTAATCCGTTGGGTTATGTCGGTCACTCTGGTTTTACTGCAGATATCCTGATTTCCGAGTCTATCACGATCATAGAGAAACTCCGAGCATAGCCCTCTCCATAGCTCGCTGAGCGACCTTGAGCGTCCTCATACGGCCAGCAGTGAAGGACCAAGTCTCAGATCCGTAAGTCATCACTGCTAACACGCACTGGTTGTACAATCTAGTTTTAAGGGATTGGGGTATACCTGACGAGAAGATGTGTCGTAATTTCGCGAACGCTGCCCAGCCGAGTTGAATCCGTCGATTGACCTCTCGGTCGAAGTTGGACTTACCTAGTCCGACAATTTGTCCCAGGTCAACGTACTCGTCAACAACTTCGAGCATAGTGCTCCCAACAGCTACCGACATAGGTGTGACATGGACATTAAACAAGATTTTTGTTTTGTTCATGTTCATCTTAAGTCCTATCCGTTGGGAGGCACTACTGATGTCATTGAGCATACTGCTTAGGTCCTCCAGCAATTCTGCCATTAGGACTATATCGTCGACAAATAGAAGGTGAGTGATGTACTCGCCATTGATGTAAATACCGTATCCTTTCCAGTCCTAGCTTGAAAACGTCTTCCAATGCAGCGGTGAACAGTTTCGGGGAAATAACGTCACCATGTCCTTCACCTCTCTTTAGTTGGATAGGTTTCGAATTCTGGTTCTGTACTCGGATAGCCATCGCAGCTCTACTGTAGAAACACTTCAGCACTTCGATATACAGACAGTCAACTTGGCACAGCTGAAGGGACTGTAGCACCGCCCAAATTTCGACGGAATCAAAGGCTTTCTCATAGTCCACATACGCCAGGCGAAGTGGCAGATTTTACTCTTCGGTCTTCTGTACAATCTGCCGCAGGGTATGTATGTGGTCTATGGTACTGAAGCCTTTTCGGAAACCGGCTTGTTCGGGAGGCTGGAAGTCGTCGAGTCTGCGTGCGAGACGGTTCATAATGACTCTCGAAAATAGCACGTAGACGCGGCTCAGAAGGGAACTCGGGCTGTAGTACTTCAAGAGAGCGTTGTCGCCTTTCTTAAAGAACAAGACCACCGCACTTCTGCTCCACGTTTCCGGAGTAGTGCCTCTAGGGAGGACAGGATTGAAGAGCTTCTGAAGAACTTGAAGTAACGGTTTTCCACCCGCTTTCAGAAGCACCGCTGTAATTCCATCCTCACCTGGGGCCCTGCCGTTTTTAAGGTGCTGGAGAGCCATTCTAATCTCGCTTAGACTGACGTCCGGGATATCATCGGAATAGTGTCGGATAAGACTTGCTCTTGGATCGTTACTCACACTTGCGTGTGGCTCCAACGATGATGTGTACAGCTGCCCATAGAACCTCTCAATCTCACTCAGAATCTCAGGTGTCCCGGAAACGATGCTGCCACACTCAGTCTTCAGCCTTGACAGTTGGCTCTTTCTGGCAGACAGATCTCTCGCAAAGACTTTGGAGCCCTGGTTCTGCTCGATCGCTTCTTTAATACGAACAGTATTAAAGTTGCGTAAGTCTCGCCGCATGCATTTGGAGATCTGTCTGTTCAGTTACCTGTATGCTGTCAAATCTGTTGACGATTGCAGCTTCATCTCCCGTCTAACAGCCATAAGATTAAGAGTGTGATCGGAGAGTTTTTGTTTTCTTCTGCGACGAATCTTGCAGTACTTAGCTCCGACCGCATGGACAGTTTCCACGAGCTTGTCATTCATATCGTCCACTGCATTGCACTCTTCTAGACACTAAAAGCGGTTACGTAACACGAGCTGAAAGGTTTCGGGATTCTGGAACACGAGGGGGAAGGAGCGTTGACTTCATTAGACGAGACCTTTCCAACTTAACGTTTAGGTTCAGTGTGCCTCTAACCATTCGGTGATCGCTGCCAGTTTTCACCAGTGCGATCACTGAGACATCACTGAACAGTTGGCGTCTGGTCGTCATAATGAGGTCAATCTCGTTTTTTGTCGAACCGTCGGGGCTCGAGCAGGTCCACTGTCTGTGGGGCCGCTTCTAGAAGAAAGAGTTCATCATAAAAAGTGCCTCTTTCTCCATGAAGTCGGCCAGCTGCTGGCCGCTTGGGTTCCGTTGCCCTATCCCAAATTTCCCAACCTTCGGCTCTCCGTTCTTTCTTGTGCTCAGTTTTGCGTTGTAGTCTCCCATTAACACCGTATAGTGAGTTTTGGAGGAATGCATTAATACATACATTTCCTTCACCTCCTCATCGCCTCATCCTCTTCCCTCGGACCTCCGTGCGTTGTGACTCTGGACTCTTTTTTGTTTTTAAAAATTAAAATACAATCAGTGATATTAAATTCGGACAAAATAATAAGAGTGCATAAACTTGAAGGTGCAAACAGATTTACTACCTCTCAGAACTTCGTGAGCGCCTGCTACTTCGTGCTCCGCCTACTGCTGTGACGCAAGTATAAATTACTACCATTCCTGCGCGAGCGCATTGACAACATTTTTGTTGAGCAATAACCGCACCCCCACGTTTCACCGCCACCCAATTAGCGGTCTAAGAAGGTGCAAACAGTTCTACTACCTCTTTCAACTTTATGAGCGCCTAGTACTTCGTACTCCGCCTACTGCTGCACGCAACTATAACTACAACCAATTCTGCGTTAGCGCATCGACACTATTTGTGTTGAACAACAGTCACACAACCTCGTTGCACCGCCACCCAATTAGAGGCTACTACCACCACCTACCACTGCAGTAAAGCCATCTTAGAAGCAATATGGCCACACGCCCCGACGCTATGTCATCCGCGACATCAGCAGCGGCGAATACATCTCCTAGTAGCTCTGCTACCTTAGTACATACGGATACTGTACTCAACGGAACTACCTCTGACACGGATCTCTCACTTATTACGCCTCCAAACTTTGTTTCTCAACGAAATAAGAGACGCAGGGACCAATTGGATGATTCGATGTCTTACCAAATGGATGATTTAAACAAGAAATGCGCAGCGTAATGACATTTTTTTTCTGTCTCCCAAACCAATGAACTTAAACAAGTAAATACCGTACTTAAAGAGATACAACAGACAAATAATAACATTGAAAACTCAGTCTCTTTCTTAGCCGCACAAAATGAGGAGTTTAGGCAGCGAATAATCGAACTTGAAACACAGGTTAAGCAGGATAGGAATTATATTACTGTTCTGAAGAATAAAATGAAAGAATTACAGTGGGAAAATCGTAAGTCGAGCTTCGAAATTAAAAATGTTCCGAAAAAAGCTTAACGAAAAAAAAGACTTATTGAGATAGTTAGTGCTCTCTCCAAGTCTCTGGACTACAATATCACCAAAATGGATATTAAAGATATTTACAGAGTACGGCCAAAGTCCATTAACAATAAAAGCCCAACCATTGTAGTGGAAACGAGTTCGACCATACTAAGAATGATTTACTAAAAGCAGCAAAATCATTTAATATCAAACATAAATGTAAGCTGTGTGCCAAACATCTCGGCTTTAAAACACAAGAATATACCCCTATATTCCTGTCCGAGCATCTAACCCCTAAAGGAGCGCGTTTACATTTCATGGCGCGTGATCTGACCAAGTCAAAGAACTATAAATTCTGCTGGACCGCCTATGGTAAAGTTTATGTAAGAGAGAATGAAAACTCTCCAATTATAATGATACGTAATGAAAGTCAAGTACACCAACTCCTGGGTAGCAGGCAGCAGGGACCCCAAGTAATCTAACTATCTGAACATGTACTGCCAACCCATGGTATTACTGTTTATACTAAGCTCACCCAACTGATAAACTCTGTTATTCTGCCTGATTATCTGTTTTATTATGTTTTTTTTTTGTATTTTTTGTCTCTGTTTCAATTTGTAAAAAAATTTTGAATTATTATTAAGCATAACATTCCAATATATATCACACATTTCTTCTACCATACTTTACAGTGAAACAAATATGTAAGTAAACAAAAGTAATATGTTGAAAAATTATTCTACAATTAATTACAGAGAGAACTCGTAACACAAATGGAGTCGGCGTCTTCTTGTTGTGCGTCGCAGGCGCCGTTGGATGTAATAGGTGATTTTGCTACGTAGAGAACGAATTTCGGCCAATCACGTTACACACGTTACAGTATGATCGCGGCAACCCAATTGCAGCTCGCTGATTGATTGTCGCTGCGTAGTATAGCTTACATAGGCCGTATTCAGTGCTCTCCCGACGGTCAGGACTGACGTCAGTCTGCCGTAGCTATCGCCATAGAAACCATGCGTGCATTCAGAGCAGCACTGACCGCGTCCGCATACGCAATACTGACAGAGACGGTCAGTCGAGCGCGTCGGTGCTGCGTACGTCAGGTGACTGACGCGCTATGCAATGCTTCAGAGCATTTAGTGCGTTGCGGAAGCGGGACTCGAACGGACGTTAGCGTGTACAATCATGTCGAAACATAACATCGACACTGAACGTGTGATAACAGAAGTTCGAATAAGACCACCTTTGTGGGATCTATCTCACGATTTATTCAAAGATAAAGATGCCAAGCTTCAAGCATGGTTTGGAGTGTATAAAGCTCTTTTGCCCGATTTTAATGATTTGTCTGAGAATGATAAAAAAGACTTTGGTAAGTAAAAAAATGTGTTTATTAAAAATATTTTTTATTGAATATACAAGTATCTAAATAATAACAATCAAAATATAGAATCATCTTGCCACGGAATTGCGCCAACTTCAGAAACAAAGTAATTAACAAATTTATCTCTCAAAACATCACCGGATCTGACAACCGAGATGTTGTTAGTGTTGGTATTATTTTGAAATCCTTCAATAGTTAGCGTATCCTCAAATTTATAGCCATCTCTTTCTCTAATGTAGTTGTGCAAAATACAACAGGTTTTAACAAGTTTAATAGCATTCGGCAGTGAGTGATTTATTGAGCGTTGGAATATTTTAAATTTATTGGACATTATTCCAAACGTCGATTCAATGTACCTTCTCGCCCGACTTAATCTATAATTAAATATTTTCTTTTTATGTGTCATATTGCTGCGAACATAAGGTCTTAAGACTTTATTCGATATTCCAAACGCTCCATCGCCTATTAGCACATATGGCATTGGTTCAGTGGTATTAGGTAATGGCTTAGCACTTGGTAAATTTAGTTCTCCATTATGTAATTTTGTGTACAAACTAGTATTCTTGAAAATTGTTGAATCAGAGTCTGACCCACACGAACCAACATGTATATATGTAAAACGATACTCTGAATCACACATTGCTAGTAGATTGATGGAAAAATGCTTCTTGTAATTTAAAAATAAGCTACCGCTCTTTTCGGGACAAACAATTCTCACGTGTTTGCCATCTAGGCATCCTACACAATTCTGAAAGTTGGCAACCTGCTCAAATCCTGAAGCAATTTTAAGCCAATCTTCAGGGAACCTAGGGAGCGAAAGACATTCACTGTGAAGCACATTCCAAATAGTCAGGCAAACTTCTCGAACAATGAGACAAATAGTTGATTTGCCAAGTTGATAACTGAAATGTAAGTCCGAAAACGTTTGTCCAGTTCTTAAGTACCTGGAACAAAAAACACAATTTTTTTTATTTATTATTTACAGAAAAAAGTGTACAACAAAGATGGAGAACTGCGAGAGATGCTTACATGAGATGCAAAAATTCTATGAAATCTGTGAAATCGGGATCGGAAGGCGGAAAGAGAACCAAATACGTATTTTTCAAACATTTACAGTTTCTTGACAAAAAACATGTTGCCGACACCGAAGATTCTATTGAAGAAAATGAAACAAGAGAAGATACACAACAAGATTCAAATTTGGAGTCTCCAAACAATCCACGTTCTACTGAAACAGTATCCACCAATCCAGAAACCCAACCACAGTGTTCCAGCCAAGTTAGACAAGATTCTTCAAACACAACTAAACAATCTAGCTCTACTCCTAACACAAACCCATCAAGGAAGCGTAAAAACGCAAAAACTAATGAAGACAGCTACTTCGATAAAAACATCTTGGAGTTTTTAACAAAAAACAGCGAAATTATTCAAAATGACGATATGGCATTTTTTTATTCTCTTTTACCTTTAACACGGACATTCGACAATCGTCAAAAAGTTATGTTCCGTACTGCAGTAATGAATAAAGCCCTGGAAATTTGTAACTGCCCTTCGTCTATCACTCCTCTTGCTTCACCAATGTATGCATCTACCTCTCGCCCTGAATCTTCTACTTCCAGCATGAATATAGCATCACCAGAATCTCTACCATCAGGATCTCAAGACATAGTTTTGTATTCAGTTGAAGAACCTTCGTCTCAAAATGTAGTGAGAACTAATCCAAATATCGCACATACATCACAAAATTCGGTAATCACATCTTTGTCTGCTTCCAGCTTCAATATACCATCACCAGGATCTCGAGACATAGTTTTGTATTCAGTTGAAGAACCTTCGTTTCAAAACGTAGTGACAACTAATCGTAATTTCGCTTATACGAGCACATCACAAAATTTGGAAAACCCATCATCTGATTTGTCTCAGTATATTAATTTTAAGCAATGACTGACAATCACATGATACTGATAATACTGATTGCATTCCCTAAATTACTTAACTGATTGTATTACCTAAATTACTTATTAAACTTATTAAACTTAGCACATAAACATGTTTAATTTGCCTATTTCATATTTAAAGGTCTCTAATTTCATATTTAAAAGTACTCTATGTAAGGGTGCCAGCCATTCTACCCATCAATTTTATCCAACAAAAAGAGAAAGCTGACTTTTATGTCGATATTATTAGAAAAATGCACTGATATTTTGATCAAAGAAATTTGATGAGTGGAATAGCACCCGACTACGAAAATATTTTCGATTTTATCTTACCTCAATGTCACAGCAAGTCTTTCAACGGGTCGTACTGGAATCCTAAACATGTTATGATGTTTAATATGATCCTGAATTCTTGCCAGCAGTTCATCAAAACTTTTTACTGACATCCCAAAATAATCAGAGAATTTTTCATTATAATTTCTAAGTTTTGAAAACAGAGTACTGAATTCTCCTTCAAGTAGCCTGTTAGCAATAACTGGATGTACGTGATATCTTCTTCGTTTTTTTTTCATTCGTAATCGCCTCAAATAGTAAAGAGTAATTAAACAATTTATAAACGGATACATCACGACTATACCCTGCTGTTCCGTACGGTGGTCAGTGGAGCACTGAATGCATAAAGCCGACTGACGGTCAGTGCGTGCGTACGCACTGACCGTCAGTCCCGACCGTCAGGAGAGCACTGAATACGGCCATAAGTTGACGTTGACGTTTGACTCGCCTGCGCTCTCCAAGCCAGGAAACGTGACGAAGAAATGGTACCGACCGGAAAAGTTGAGCACGCCTCGATATACGTCGTGTTGTCTCGTTCTAACTTTCGTTTGTTCCTATCTTCTTCTCTGTCGCACACGAAAATATGCAGCGTGTGTGACGATGGAACAAAAAGAACGTTCTCGATACGAGGATAAAAATGCTCAAACAAATAGAAAATTGTGTTTTTGTTATTTTAGGTAGAAGTCACATAAAATGCGGGAAATATATTATAGCCTTGTAGATATGACTTTCCACAAATCGTAGATATTGCTGCTCGTTGCGTGTTTCTTGAACCGTAGTTCTTGTATTCTGCTATTTGGTAGGTATTGAAAGGCGACATACGCACTTTGCAGGTTAGATGGACGGTGACCAACTTCATGAGCTGGATACTGTCTAGGGGCTTCCGCGTGCAGTACGTATGCTTGTCAAGATCTTGATTGACGGCTTCGATAGGACCATTTGTAGGAGTGTTGCGCTGGTTAAGGTTGATAATTCATAATCTTGACATTGAAACACGTTCTTGCATTGAACACGTTTATTGAGAACTACGGTGGCACACGAGATTTTAATTATTGCAGACAATACCAATTAGCATACACTGTCAGTAGAACAGTAGTGAGAGAGTAAAAAAGTAATAAGTAATGGCGGCCGGAAGCCTTAATTTTTTTTATTGTTGGTGTTGCCAACAGGTAGTATTGAAAAATAGTTGAACGTTAATACAAGGTATGGATACTTATTTACTTTTTCACAAAACAGTGCTAGTTAATAATGTAATTTTAATATTTAATATTGGCTAGGAGTTGGCTGATTTGCTTCTTAATTTTTCACACTAGTGTTGGGAGTTATCCATTTTTATGTTTATTAAAAAGTAATTAAAATTTAAAGTTACATTATTGTTTCATTAATTTAATGTTTTTATTTCATTAATTTAATTTTGATATTTTATATAACTTTACTTTTAAAGTTAAATTGATATTTTTTTATCATTTTTGGCTCATTTTTGTGCTTATGGTGATGTTTTTTTTTAATTTGTATGCAGATGTCCCACTCACGTGCTAAAATAATACTGCAAATAAGCATGCAAAATTAACAGCATGAGCTCAATGAAACCAATAACTCTGTTTTATTTGTTAATAACCAATTTCCAGATCCGTATGACGCTTTGGTTGGGCATGATAGCGTAGCTTCTAATTCCGCTTCATTGACTTTCTTTGATAATGGCTACATTGATTATATTGAAAATGAAAAGCCTGGCGTAGAGTACATATATAACCCTGAATCGTTTGACAGTAAAAGTTTCGATAACCAAACATGTTCTAATACGCAGACATATGAAATAGTGAAGAATGTTGTTATTGAAGACATATTTCCGCTTGAAACAGAACAACTCAGTCCAAGTTCTCACTCGGTTCAAGTTCTATCTCTTCGTCTTACTCCATTACTTATCTACAATTCTAAAAATGCCTCTAATAGTTTTGAACCATCTCAATCGTACCTCTCTACAAGTAATGATAAATCAGATGATGATTTGGCCGTTCCTTTGATACAAGAAAACTAACAGCTCATGAAACTATACCTCCTAACTTACCTACCTACCTAACCCCAACTGCCTGTCCTGAATTAATAAATAATTAGTCGATTACAGTGATAGTGAATCAGAATCGGAAGAACCGGTTATATAAAGAAAGAAAAGGTGTCAAGTAAAGAAGGAAGAATGGACTAGTGAAATTAATAAAAAGAATAGAGAAAAGGGTAAAGAATATTGCGGTAAGAAAAAAGTTGATGGAGAGTGGAAAAAAAATATAAAGAAACCAAAAAAGGTGTTGAAACCCCGGTGCAGTTGTAAGGAAAAGAGAAATAGTGTGGTCTGGAATTTATTTGATAAGTTTGGAATATGACTTCGGATGAAAAACGATTTTACGTGGATAATTTAGTAAAAAATTTACATACAAATAGGCAAAGAGATAGGAAAGACCCTCAAAAATCTAAAAGAGTTAACACTTTTATTTACCACCTAAAAAAAGGTGGATATGATAAGAGTCTGTAAAACGTTATTTCTAAATACCTTCTCTATCGGTAAATCATGTATCTGGGGTTGGAAGGTTGAAGTTGGTGGAAAGAATACTGATGAACCATTACCAGAAACTACTCCCAGAAATCCATTCGACCAAGAAGTTAAAACTTTACAGGACTTTTTAGATGACTTACCTAAAATGCCTTCACATTATAACACAGACATACATACAACCAGACATATCATCCAAACAGCATCTTTATAAAATGTATAAGGATAATTGAGTCAAAAAACAAAAAAAACACTATCTATTGCCACTTTTACAAATACCCTAACCATACAAAAAATAGCTTTATTCAAACCGAAGAAAGATTTGTGTGACATCTGTAACGGATACAAGATGGGCCATATTACTAAAGAGACTTACGAAGAGCATGTAAATGAAAAGAACGAAGCGAGTATGGAAAAGGAATCTGATAAAGAAAAAAAGGAATTTGTCTTTACTGCAGATCTCCAAGCAGTGCTTTTAGCACCGCGATCCTATGTGTCTTCAAATTACTACAAGACTAAGCTGTGTGTTCACAACTGGTGTATTTATGACATGAAAACTAGCGATGGGTATTGCTTTCTATGGAATGAGGCCGAAGGTGGACTTAATTCTGATGAGTTTGCAACGATTTTTTTTTTGATACCAATACATAACTGTATACAATATGATAACTAATTTCTTTATGAATAAAGTGGTCCCAAAAATGGGAGATAACAATAGATTCATAACTTTGTACACGGATGGGTGTACGTATCAAAATAGAAACGTTACTTTAAGCAATGCTCTCCTCAACATAGCTATGCTGAATAATGTTACAATTGAGCAAAAATATTTGGAACTAGGGCACACACAAATGGAGGTTGACAGTATGCACGCAATGATTGAAAAAAAAACTAAAAAATCAATTGATTAATGTTCCAGCCTAGTAGATTACCATTTGTAAGAATGCAAAAAAATCAAAACCGTATACAGTCGAATACCTAAACTATTCTTAGTTCAAGAATTTTAAAAATTTACAATTTTACACCTCTATAAGACCAGGAAAAATGAAGGGAGACCCTAAGGTACATAAATTACTTAAATTTTATTAATTATTATTGCTACTATATTGGATCGATACGATAAGTTCTGTTTCTCTTTTCCTACCTACGAGCCCTTAAGTATGCATCCTCTGGAGTAATTTTTTATAAACTTAAATTAACTGATGAATATAAATTACTCAACCAACGCAGGAATGTCCGAATTAACAACATTCCTTTTAATAATATACCTAACCTATACAACGAACGCAGGAAAATTACAAAAAAAAGTTCTTAGATTTACAGCAACGAAAGAACTCAATGCCAAGAGATTGCCAAAACTATTATGACAACCTTCCTCATGAAACCTAAAATAGTGTACCTATAATTAACATTATTTGATTATTATTAAGTGCATTAACATATCTTATAATTAAAACTTAATAAGAATAATAAACTTTTATTATTTAAAATTAATTTATCGAGCAAACCAGCTAACTCCTAGTTCACATACTTAAACAAGAAAGGAAAAACGGATAACTCCTAAAAACGCTGTAGTATTGTAATGAAAACGTATAAAGGGTTTTACAGTATTAAAAATAACAATTTACGATAATATCTACGAACGGTGTTTTAGATTTTTTCATAAGTAGTCTACAAAAAATATTATACAGTTTTAAGTGTCTCCTGAAAAACTTGCTCGTATGGAGTTAGCTGGTTTGCGAATTAAGGTATCGATATATAAATCATAGATTTGGATCAAAATTACCAAACTCTCGGACGAAAAATATCGAAACTTTGTTAGTTAAAGTTTAGTGAGTGAAGTGACGCTTGAGTGGATTTAACGAGGTGATAAAATATGCCGTGAGTATTGAATTTTATTGATTTTTGCTAGTATTTATATACACAAATTAATGTGTTATTAGTGTTTTCTTGTACTAAAGTATTGTTTTTGCAAATACTGTATGAAAAATGTGATAAAGTCGACTTTTAAAAACACTCAGAATAACGCGAATCTAAACATAATTTTCTATAGCTTACATAATCGTAATTATGTTGTATTCTTTAAATATGATAAAATTATTCAATCTAAGTAATAATAATATTTTGTAAATTGTTCATCATATTATAATATAAGTTTTTATGTAATAACAGCCTAGATTTTAACTAACAAACAGCGATCGTTTGCGCAATCCGCGAATTCTTCATCATGTTTCACTTAATATTTTTACTATGTATTTAAATATAAATCGTTTTATAATATAGATAAATATATCAAAAATTCATTACGTTTAAGGATATAATAAATAATCATACACTTATCGATCGTATTTTTTGATAAACCCGATGTTTTGCAAAAAGTCGCTAAAATGGCTTGTACTTGTGATTTCAACAGCTCTAAAATATTATTGCAATCATATTTTGTTAGAATAACATACGTATTTTCTTTTCTTATTTCAATGGCTATTCACAAAATTTAAAATCTTTGAAGTGCTCCTCTAGAGTAAGTCATAAATTAAGTTTTATTGACGGCGAGTCGAACGTGAGAAACACAGTCCCGACCTACTGGCAAAGTAAGCTACTCTTTTTTGTTCGCAAGCAATCGAGCGGTTAATGTTCACAAAACTACTGAATTCAGAGTGGTATGAACTTAGAGAAGTAAAAGCACAATTTTTTGATATCGCAGGATTTCCAAATGTAATTAGTTGTGTAGATGGATCACACATACCTATTCAATTTTCTGGAGGCGAGCAAGACGAATTATTTAAAAATAGAAAAGGTTTTTTTTTTCTATTAATATGCAAGTTGTGTGTAATGCAAAGTTGCAAATTCGTGACATAGATGCCCGCTGGCATGGATCAACACATGACAGTACAGTTTTAATAACTCATTCCTCCGAGCACGCCTGAATAACAATGAGATAGATGGTCACCTCCTTAGAGACAGTGCATATCCTTGTGGACGCTATATGATGACACCATTTTTAAACCCAGCTACAAATGCAAAAAAACTCTACAATGAAGCAGTTTTTACGTGGTAGAGCCATGCTGCAGTTATATTAGTAGTATAGTTGTAGCACGAATGGGTCGACTCGACCGGGGAAGGACCACGCTCTCACAGAATACCAGCGTGAAATAGTAGCTTAATGCTGCTGTATTTCGTATGGTGAGTGTAGAGAACCGGTGACCCTTTTTACTGGAAACGAGGCATTCCATCTTAGTCCTCACGGGTGACAACGCATCTGCATTTTGATTCGTAATCGAGGATAGATGTAGATGTCTATGGGCCACAGCAACCACTTACCATCAGGTGGACTGTGTGCTCGTTTGTCACCCTATCCTATAAAAAAAAAGCACAAATCTAAACCAGAAATACAGTTGAAAGGACATTTGGTGTGTGAAAAAGAAGATTTCTATGCCTTTCTCAAAAATTAAGGTTAAAATTGGATCATACGTTAGCTGTGATTGTTGCAACAGCTGTGTTACACAATATAGCTCTACAGACAAATGATACTCAGGCGATTCATTCTGATTTGGAAGAAGATATTACAGAATCAATTGAATAACCTCTTCCCTGTGAAGGAAACCATTTTCGTCGTTTATTGGTAGAACAATATTTTAGGTTGGTAAAATTTTTCATTTGATAATATCTCTAAAGCTCAATTTACATAATGTTGAATGTAATAAAGCAACAGAAAAAGAAAGGAGTATATGGTCCATCTGATGGTAAGTGGATGCAGGAGCCCCTAGACATCTGCATCTATACTCTATTAAGAATCAAAATGCAGATGCATAGTCACCGTTGAGGAGTAAGATGGAATGCCTAAATAGTCTCCGCTTGTTTACGCTCACCAAATGAAACAGCAGCATATTTAGCTGTTAATTCAAACTAGTCTTCGGTGAGGGCATGGTCTTTCCCTAGTTGAACTAACCTATTCGTGCTACAATTATAATATATCTGCAGCATGGCTACCATGTATCAATAATGTATTATGTTAATAAAAACCAACTAAATAAACAAGAATTTTAATAAATAAAACTATAACTAAATACTAATATAAAACTAAATGAATTTATTTTGCTTTGGCCATGTAAAAATATAGAGAATTGAATTTATAAACAGGAGTTATAATTATTAACACCAAAACATTACAAATATTTTTTTATTGAAGATTCAACATCAATATGAAATCATCAAATAACAAAAATATAAAATTTTACTGGATATTGATATACAACGTGGGGCTACAATGGCGACTTTAACACATATACGTTTTCACACTTTGATTTCAAGACGAATTTATATTATAATTTAAACGTTATTATTTACGAATTTATTCAAAATTTTAGAAAATAGCATGTGAGAGCAACCTGTACTTAAAGAAATGTCGCGCAGCGGTCATTTGCCGGGGTCACGGATCATAACATTGCATTACCGAAATTAAAACGAATAAGCAATACTATTGAAAGAAAGAA